AATTGTGCATTTTGATTGTTGTGAATTAAAGCACCCTTCCAGAATAAGAAGCACTCTGTGTTATAAAGCGACCAAATATTATATTTCAAACGAATCTGGTCAATCTAGAAGGGATAGAATGACATTCATTTGTTGCTGTTGATTTGATTAATTGAACAATTGTTCGTGGAATAACTGAGTGGTAATATTTGTTTAGAATCGTCATTTACCCAAATCACTTGTTTTGGTTTCAACTGGGCAAGATGCGTTTCTAAACTACCTAGACAGTTATTCCTCAGTCCAAACCTCAGTTTGGATCTTACAGTAATCAAGTAAATTCGCATGAATATTGATAGATTTTTCAGATGAAAACAAAAACATTCCAAAAAGTAAAGACACCAGTCATTGACTGAAGTATTTCTATTTCGTTGGGTTTGAGTTAAAAAAATAATCAACTCTATTTGCATTTGAATCAAGTAAACATTTTCTCTGACACATATCACCATAGAGTAGTAAGAATTACAGAAATTCATAATGAAGATAAGTTTGTTTGTTCTACTTAATTTATTTTTATAGTGTTTTTTAAAATGTAACTTATATGAAAAATGAAGTGTCACTAGATAATTATGCGTTAATTGAGAAATCTTCAATGAAGCAATCTCTTAAATGGCCAACTTTACTACCCAATAGATCATAAAAATCTAACTTGCATTTATGACAGATTTACTTGAATAATTCAAACAGCATTTGAAATTATTTGATATATTAATTCACAAAAGTAATAAAATTTTGGCCATAGTGTTTATTTCTTAAAATAAATGTTCAAAACATAAAATTTTATAGAATGTTTATGGTGATGATAATAGCGATGTAAATTGTAAAATGTACTCTCCATTCAGCCATTATCGCCTTTGAATGAAAAGATATCTCATCAAAAAATGGAATGCTAATCAACTTTTTAAATTTGATTTCAAAGTTTTTACTCATTTTAAACAAAGTTGTCTGCGTTTAGACAAGAATATAGTCGTCAAAAGGTGGTATAAGCTAACAGAAAAGATATAGTTGTCTGTAAATATACAGTTATTCACCCGGTACTTCAGCGACAGTAACAGTATTAATATTAATCATGGCTATCTCTAGTATAACCCGATATTCTATTGAGAACATAATGACGTGAACCACTGAGAATTCAATGAGGGCATAAACGTTTTGAATATGCTACTTTATTATTTATGTAGATTAAATGTGTACACCTTGCAATCTCAATCGGGAAAACGCAACAACGCCACCAGAATATAATGACGCAGAAATAGATATAATTTTAAGAGAGAAGCCAAATAAAGAAGTCGCTTCCTATGTCTTGGTCTATTCAATTTTTTATGGAAAACTCTAAAAATTGAAGTGTTATTTTTTAAACTCCTCATTACCTGAAACTTTAATCTTCATTTACAAACTTCTGGCGAACAAATTCACCCAGTTTTTGTTACAAACATAAATATATGAAAAAAATGAAGATGGGTATGTCAATGACACAATTTTGTCCGGAAAGTAATTTTACGGTGTCTGAAAAAATATTAAAAGAAAGCCATCTGAAATCCAGTAAACGAGATGTCTGTTCTACTCTAAGTTTGACGTAACTAACGCTGCTATATAACTGACGGTAATTGCGTATTTGACTAGTTGCTATTGTGCGATTTAATTATGCTTGCCTTCTCCTTCGTCCCAACTCATGTTGCCGCAAGACGGTTACAAAAATCTGTGTCGTGAATCAGACTAAGACCATAATTAGGGATTTCATGTTTAAACTTTGCAGAGTTTTATGGTGTAGTTAGGTTTATTGTGAAATTTTAGACCTAAGACTTAATTTACTAGTAGCATAAGGTCTACAGGTTTCACTTTTATTTGGTGGGGTTTAGGATGCAGATTAACTTTGAGTCTGTGTTAGCCCTGTAAGAATCCGATTGGAAATGTAGAGTTTTTTGTCAATACTAATAAAGAAATATTGATGATTCACAAAGTTCCCAAGCAAATCAACATGAATAAACAGAGCATATATCATATTTATACTAGCAGAAAAAATAAAATAATACCGTTAAAACAAAAACCACCTATAATTTGCACAAATAATTACTGTCTAAAAATTGTCCTTCAAATTTAACTTAAACAATAAATGATTAAAATGATGATCAATCAGAATTAAGCATAACGAGACGGAATACTACAAAAATGAATCACATAATAATACACTGAGAAATATTTTAGGTGGAGTATGCATTGGACTTTATTTGCGATATGATTGCATGGACTAAGAAACGTTTTACAAACTGTTTCAAAGAATTCCTTATGTATAACCATGAGTGATTTAATTTCTCCACGCATTAAGTTTACACAGAAAAAGTGTCAATCAATTATATAGATTTCATGTATGTATTGAGCTGAAAATAATTATGATTAGTAATTATGATAAACAAATGGATTTATAAGGGTAATACTAGTAGGAAAATTTTATCTGGTTTCTAGATTCATTCACATATGCAAGGCGATTCAAACAATCATCATCTTTTGGAACATTTTCTGGGGTATCTACGTTTCTATTTACTGATCGCAAATAATCTCGTTAACGAAAATTCAAATATCATACTAGTGGTCTAATGTCTGGAAATCTACGCAAGAAAGTAAATATTATCTAGATGCCCTTCTTATCCTAAGAGTGCAGCACTTTGTATGACTCGCTAGTATTTGACAGAAGACTAATAAACACCACATTATTTTCTGTATTTATCCATAAATGAAGATTTTTAAGTCAAGTTGTTGTCCAAAAAATCACTTAAGTTTACTGGTGTGAGATGTTTTAAAGGCCATAACCTGTAAGTCTTTCAGAAATAAAGTGGCCTTATTTTGATTTATACCGTTATTTGTAGTAAATAAAATTTCATTAGATGAAAATCATTATTTTTAAATCATTTATAACAATAGATAAACGACGCAGTATAACAAATGGATGGATCAGTAGCAGGAAATACAATTTTTACTTTCCTACTTCATCAAAATAAATGAGACTTCTAGTTTCGATCAGTTCACCTAAATTGTTCATCGTGAAAAATCTGTAGGGAATCGTGACTTTTATCCAAGTATTGCTTTTATGCTGTGGTGCTTAAAACCAGCGCATATGTCTGAAAAAGATGTGGCTTTGCACAAAATTTGCTGTCCCAAGTGTCGGAAGTACGACAGAAAGGTTGCTATTGGCGGCTTTTTATATATAGTCAAATAGCTTTATGGTAACTCCATCAAATTTTAGGCTTACAATAAAATTGGACTGTAATTACAATCAGAAAATTGTAAATTTACATAATCCAGATTTTGACTTTTACAAAACTTTTCCGGTGTAAATGGCTATGCGGGTGATATAAGACAACATACTTGCTTTTTCATATTAAGTATCTAATGATATTATCGTTTTTACTAATCGCAACTCTTTCGGTCTCCTATGTTTATAAATACGATTTCAAACATTTTGATGAACAGACAGACAGATACAAGGCAGAACTTCGTATGTACGTACATTAGTTCAGGTTTCCATACTATATCAGCACAGAGATGCAACTGTCAGTTTAAATCCCATAGTGGTAGCGATAGTAGAAGTATTATCAGCAGTGGAGAAGATTAGGGAGAAAAGATATGATTCGAGAAATATAATTTAGTGAGATAAATTTAGAAAGAGAAAGATAGAGACGATGAGGAATTCAGAAGGTTAGAATTAGAGAGAACACAAAGAGTGGATGCACTTGCGCCATTGCAAACGATCTTGAGCCATAACATTCAAGGTCTGTAACCACTTGTCAGTTTCGTCTGGCAGACCCCAACCAGATAGTCTACATCTACCAACATGACTCAATCCACTTGTCAGTGACTTCATGGATTTCTGCCATGTTTTGGTTTGGCCGCTCCTAACTTTCGTCCAACCTACTCCTACACCATAAAACAGCGCTCATCGAGGCCATCGGTGGTTGAGCATTCGTAACATATGTCCCAACCACCTCAACTGATGGAGTTTTAATGCATCATCTATTGATTTGCTATCCCTATCTAGTACTCGTTTCCTAACTATAGCATTGCTTACTCGGTTGTCCCACGGTATACGATCAATGCTTTGGAGACACCTATGATCGAAGACAAGCAATCTGCTAATGTTTTCTACTCTCACCGGCCATGTTTCGCATACGTTTAGTAGGACCGAGCAAACTGCTGCGCAGTACACTCGTCTTTTGGTTATCGAACGGATATCTTGCCTGCACCATAGGTGACGCAAGTTGGCAAAATCCAATCGAGCTTCCTGTATCCGTGCTATTTTTGATAAGCTGGAATCTAGTACTAACAGAACCTAATAAAAATTCACTTTTAAAAACTGAAAACATTAATAACCATTGAAACGATAATAATTTCCTGTTTCGCATTAAACGGGATGTATAGTGTAAAGAATTGGATTTGTCGGAAGATTAAGACAAACTTAAACAATTACTACGTCGCAAGTACTTTCGGGTAAATTTTTTTCCATCAATCAAGCATGAGCCAGAAAGTAAGTAGTTGGATGTTTCTGACTGATCACTATTGTATCATGAGAGATAACAGAAGTTAGCCAGTAGGTGGAACTAATAATTTTAAAAGAAATGTCATTACGTAAAAAGTGAAGAATAATCTGTATAGTCTATCGGTATTAGGATAATAAATCAAGTTAATATCTTCCACCAAAAATGGAAACATATTTCTCTTAATCGGGTGTACTATAAACAGAAGAATTTTATGGAAGTTAAAATCGAGTATGAGATGAAACTACTATGAGTTTTTGATATTTTTAATAGAGAAAAACAGAGTCTGTGATCGAAAATACCCACACTTGACTCAAACGAATTGCATTTATTTTGATAGTTTCCTAGAAACTATGAAAAACCGAAGTATTTCTCAATTTGGACCAAAAATAGTGACTATGTAAAAAAAATGAAGATTGCAAAATAATAACTTACCCCAACCGAAATTCCTGAATCTGAGAGCTCCTATTGATAGCTACTCTCAGAGGAAAATCATGGTTTAAACGAAGACCAGGAATGCCTATCTGAACCAGCGATATATGTGAAACTCCATAGTTAATATTATTCCATTCAAAATCAGGCTTATGGATAGCCGTTACAGGAGGAAGTATTTGCGACTGATGAATCAAAGAGTGTGTTATATCCGACCGTTCCACATAATGAAAATAGGGTTCTGTGTAATTTACCTGATAAGCTGTTGCGTTGTATTTGACTAATATGGTTAGAGATTCAGTCATATGTGTGCGAAATTGCATTCTTACAAAATCCAAGTCGAGTTTGGCTGCGCATTCAGACTCATTGACTGTTCGAATAGTACATGATGAATTACTGAAGACATGAGAATCAAATGACTGAATATATACACGAAAAGTACACAATATGTAAATGTTTTGCTGTGCAATAAGATAATTATTTTCAAGTGAACAAAGCCCATATATGGGAGAGCTTTGGGACCTGTATACAAAAATTACGTAAGTATTTAGAAAGACATTTATACTGGCCATCTTGTAAACGTGAGTGGAATTTAGCGAACCTAGATGTGCTATGATAGAACCCTCCGTAGCGGGTTGTATGAGGAAGAAAGACTTTTCCAGAGTATCATTTGAACTATAAACTTCAAAAGCCAATTCATTTGGGTCAGTATAGATATCCGGGGATACACCTATCAGAAGTAACATCGACAAGAAATTTTAAACAAACCTGTCAACCTTCGTATGTGCAATGTTAAATTCAATAACAGCAGTAATCTCGCTGTATGCAGGACCGAACACATCACATCACATAAACGAAAAATCCATTTCAATTACCTCGCAACCTTGAAAGAAAAACTGGATTACTACTACATATATAAACAACAAACTATTTGGTAAGACAATGAAAATGTTCACCATCTTAATAAACAACAGTTTTATGACTGTCTCTTCCTGCTTAATCTTATTCATCCTAATTATTGATGCCTAGTGGTCTGCAGCTACACGATTTGAAAGAGAGAAGTGGATTTTCCCTCACTTCCCGGTATCATTCTGTTGCATTTACCGTTCCAGAAGAAGGATCTAAACTTATATTTAACATATAAACGCTATTTGGGTTTTTACAGTACCTTTTTAACACTTTTTACACCTCATTTTACCTCAGTCGAAGTATCTTTGTTGGTGTGCAATCCATATACGACATTTACATATTTTCACCTGAGTCAAATTTACTGATTTTTCAACGTCTTTCTTGTTCACTTTATCAGGCCAAAGTTGCGGTTCTGGTAAGTTTTTTACTTGCTGTAATAACGGTATAATTTTCGAATTTTTTCAATTATCTGTTTGAAAATTGGCAGTTTTACCTCCTCCATCCTGGTTAGAGTTACGATAGACATCAGTTCTTCTTCCATGAAGAAGATGATAACCCAGTAGGCAGCTGTATTTTGGACAGTCAAAGAACTTAGGTAGGAGGGATTGGCAAGCGGTCTGAAATAACGACTTGACCACCAGCGATCTTAAAGCTGGTACTCGGATGTAATGAGTAAAGGGATGTTATATTGAATAACAAAAAAACTGGTAATTTGAATATTTGAATCAGATTACTGTCATTTTGAGACCTGAGATTTTCTGCCGAATTTTCTCTTCGAGTTTTGTGAACAGTGCTTTTTATAAACACATCACTACTTTATCCGCCACAGAACCAACAAATGTGACTGAATAGGCTGTTCTTCAGTCGCTCATTTACGTCAAACAAAGTTGACCTCGACCGGTTACACCCATTCCTCGTAAATGCTACCGTAGGACCACCCACCACTCTTCAATAGGTCCTTCCCACAGAAACGGCTTTGTAGAGGATGAAACTATGCTATATAATGCAGTACATTTATGGCAAGAAGTTGATCGTATCTAATTATCGATCTGTCATTTTGGCTAGCATAATAGTTGAGTTAGCTAGAAAAAATAACTTAAACTAAGTTGCTTAGTCGTATAGAACCATTCAGTCTGTTAATACCTGGGCGAAATGCGTTTCGAAATGAGCATTCATGAATAACTAGCTCATTGTGAGGGAGGACTCGACAACAACTAAATACAATGGGTTGCATATCGATACAATGTTCATAGAGTTTAACAACGTTTCTCACTTGGGGCTTTGTAGAAACACTGAAACTTCGTAGTGACAGATACAGTACAAGAGTAAACAAAATCTTGCTCCACGGTCGAAAACAGTAAGTAAAAGTAAATGGTACACTATTATAATGTGAGTCTGTCGAAAGTGTTGTATCGCAAAACACAATTTTAGGTCTACCATTGTTTATCATCTGTGTCAATCGGTTACTGCTTGGTCATTTCAAACTTCCTTATGATGAGTGCTTCAGACTCCTAAACCTTTCCTTCTTACCTCATAGTAGATCACGAGGTGGTGCTATTTTGTAGCTTAGATAACAATGCGGGTGTTAGCATATCTTATCCTTTTCTACCTCTGGAACTAATCATTTCCGTGGTCAGTGAACTCAGAATGGAATTACATTTTTCACATCGAATGACCGATGGCTGAGACACCTTACTCGAACAAGTGCCTTACGAGTGCACAGTTACTGAAAAAAAGGAACAGTAACAGTATATATTATAGGGCGTTGTAACATAACGTAATCTCATTTTGTAAACAGGAAATAAAACATTTATAGGTTACTCACCAGAACTTAAACGAGCTTAACTTCTGAACTATCTCAAGCTATCTTAAAGGCATTCCTCGGACTACGCATACAATATGAAGTTGTAATTATACAGTGTGCATAAATAATTTTTTGATCAAATATTTTTCTAATTATCTTGGAAAAAAGTTTTATACGGAAAGTTTTTTATTGTTCGCTCCTGTCGGGCGTTTAGCTTTCTACTCACGAATTTATGGGAAGCAGAAGCAGGACTTTTGCAGTATAGCAAGTTGTAATGAAAGATAAACTAGCTGATGAATTTTTAGGGGAACCAAAGGACAGTGACTCATTCTACGCCTAGTTGTCCTCTTCATTTGCGAAGAGATTTCATGAAGCCAACAAGTACTTGCAATCTTACATTTTTAAATTTTACTCAAAAGTTTCACAGTTCTCATCATCATAGAGCTCTGAATCTGCCCCAAGCGATCTGGATAGTTTTCTGCACTTAGGTCTATAGCTTACAAACCTTGTGTGAACTGATGTGTCTGCTTTCATTCTATTTCAAATCCATTATTACCCATATTCCGCATTATTAGCTGACTCAAACAAACAGATTTTAAGGTAGTTAATTCAGTGTCCACTTCACTCTTAGATAATCGATATCCAAACAACAAAATTAACTAAAAGGCATCAGCATGTTAAAGGGTAATTATTGACGTTATAAGAGGAAGTGTACTGGTGCAACAGTGTTGAAATCACAATGTATCAATATAATCTCTTTTCTTCCTATTGCAGGGCGACCAAATTTGAAGGTTTTAGAAGGAGAATAGCAAGCCCTGCGTGTGATGAACTTGTAAGATGATACATAAGACTACTTTGTAAATAAGCCATTCCTTATGTACACAATCCACGAATTTTAATTTTCAAATAAAAGCAATGTGGCTACCAATCTGAGTTCTCTCTTGTAGTGAAGTTCTTGGTTAATATTATGTGGTATGATTTGAGTTATTCTCTGCCCTTCAGTGACTGCTGATTACACATGTTACACCAGGAGATCTTTTATGCGTTGTCTACACCGACTTAACTTAGTAAACGACTTACCTAAATTTTGACCACCTATTTTACAGAGACGAAGTCTATAACACTGCTTATATTATTCAATAAGATTTAAACAGGGTGGGAAGATGATGTTAAATGTACCACTTTCAGTCCAAGATTAACAAGTGCGACTGGGCCAGTATCGGACGTAGCAAACTGAGACTCCATTATGCAGTGAGTGTAGAATCCTCTTTGAATGTTTTGTTTTTTGGAAAATCGCTCCATGTTTACATATTTTTGTTATGACATGACGGACTTTTTCTGTTGACATTTTTGGTATTTTATTTGATTCCAATTTGAGATTTTATCATTGTATATTGTTATTATTTCTATATTTTGTACTTATATTGAAGTTTTTATGTTTGCTTCTGAACTGTATATATGTTGTTTAAATTTGATCTTTAATATGGCTACAGCCATATTTGGATTGATACGGTGGCGGTTGGACTTATTACCTTTGTCTTGGATACTCTTCGGAGTAATTGTGACCTGGAAAGTGCATCAACTCCAGGTATTGCTTTGTATTTCCATCTTTTAATTAATATAGACCGTTTTCTCCTAGAATTGTTGAGTTTTCTGGACATTGGACTGGGAGATACGCGTTCAGGTTGCACTTATTGGAAACCATTTGAACTGCTACGGTAAAAATCCATTTATAGTGAGTGGTAGGCTAATATTCGAACGTGCTAATGTTTTACTGGTGACGTCGAGTAGAGATTGATTATGATCACCACTACATGTAAACTATGAGCACATTACTGAGAAAAAGGGTTTTTCCATTCGAAAGAAAATATTTGCTGACGATTTTGTGGTGTCGAATGAATACCGAAATCGTGCCAGGAAAAATAGGGAAAATTACAGAGACAGTGGGGCCAAAATGGAAGTCACACAAGCCGAAAGTTTATGCATACAGAGAAGTAATAGACAAAGAGGTTCAGTAATACACTTACTGATGCAATTGGTTATAATAATGAATGTTTCTACCGAACCAATCTCGTTGTCTTTGTAAAACAGTATTCACTAAAATCTGTTTAGGTGCTTCTGATGGATAAAGTTAATTAGTTATTTTTAACCGAATCATGGTCGTCTTATTATAATGCCAGACGGTGTTCACATCAATGGCTTCATGCGCGAACTTAAGAGCCTCATTTGTCGCCACAGTAAGGTATTGGTTATTTGGCATGCATCACCGTCTGGCACATTTGACTGTTCGGTAAAATCTGTTAAGAGCGATTTACGTGGATCATCTACTATAACCATAAAATTCGTCAGTAATACACTTTCAGGCTAAATATTGGGTTGTTTGTCTGATTCTTTTCAGTGTACTACACTGACCTCCAGGATCTGTTTGACCAGATCTGGTTGCCTGATGCACATCTCTGCACACGAAAGGCAACCATTTACTTGTGTGTTGTGTCAACGGTAACACTAGCCTTTAATAACCGCCAAAAGAACTGGTTGCTTGCAGTTTTCTGGTGAATTTGAAAATAGCTTAAGAGAGGTAGACTTAATTTTCAAACATATTATTACAGTGACAAACCAGTTTATCCACTGCTCCAATATTTAAGTGATATCACCAAGCGGAAAATTTGCTGAGACACTAACAGTATGATTATGTGCATCTCTTTTCTTGCTATCTGATTCACAACAAAGTCTGAGTCATGTTCTGAATGTTAGATCCCCAGAACTAACTTGGAAGAGGTCCTAAATATGGAGTTTAGTGTTTTCACGCATTGGCTGCTCAGTCGACTTTCAGATTACATTTCACAACCAGAAAATCTTTACCCGTCATTAGTTGATGTATTATTATAGTACGCTATTTTTGTGGCTCTCTCAAAGACGTTTCTATCATGTATAAATAAGCTCGATTCGCGTGCTTGTGAACCTCATATTTTCTGGGTGATTGTAGAATACACTTTCCACGCCATATCAAAACTTCTCGCTTTAGTTAGCAAGGTCGGGGACAATCGAATCCGAATAGCCTATCTCTATCGTTTACCGAGTAAGGTGAACTCGTATTAGTTTCAAGCATATCAACTGACGAGCATATCAGTCCTGTCATTCAGTGTCAGAGTTCTTAAACACTAGTATGAGCACCGTTATTTGTTAACCTTCGACTATTATTGATCGCCAAAGTATTCACATACAGCTCATTTGTTTTGTGTACCCATATATCCGGTGGTCTATTTCAACATGTTTGAAATCGTAACCATGTCTCTGACTACTGAGAATTTCTGTGCACTGTGGTCGTTGATGTGAAGGGACAAAATAAACTACTATCTATCTTACTGTTAATAAGTAAACGAGTATCATGTTTTAGTTGACTATCTGTACCTGACAAAGAAGTTGTTCGATAGGTTGTTGATCGGGTTATGGAACACTCCTAAACAGAGTAGAATCTGTTTTTACATGCTTGTAATGACGTGTGAAAAACCTCTAAACTCACACCTTTCCATTTGATTTTTACATAGTTCTTCCATTACAAGTATTGTTTTTTCTGAATTTTCGTGTATTTTTATAATATACATACCTATCTGATCTCCTATTCGCAAATGTTATGTTTAATATTAGGAAACATTATAGTTGATTTGTTAACTAGGAAATTTGAGTAACACCAGATTTATGTCAAAAAGAACTCGATGAGTACAACTGAAAGTACTGAATTTCGGAATCATGGAATCATTTATTTATACTTTATCAATTAACACAGGTACTGCAGTAATCCCTTGCTCTTTCAAAGTCTAATAGCTTTCTTATTCATAAATCGCAGGTACTATTTAGTTGTCTTTCTCATTCACTGTTTAAATTATGATTTCTTTCTCTTGAAACTAACTCTGCCTGGAGCATGAGATATAGTTGACCACTAGGATGCAAATGGACGATTTGTACTTCGCAGACGATCTGGCTCTTTTATCTCATACGCAAAAACAAATGCAGGAGGAGACGGCCAGCGTGGTGGTAGCCTCGATAACAGTGGATCTCAACATACCCAAAAGGAAAAGAAATATCCTTTGACACAACAAAACATAAACTCACCAAATCACACCTGACGGAGAAGATTTGAAGGATGTAAGAACCTATACATTTTTGGGAAGCATCATTGATGAGCAAGGTGATCTTGATGCAGATGTGAAGGCGTGGGCTGCGTCTCCACAACTGAAGAATATCTGGAACTCAAAACAACAATCAACTAACACCAATTTTTAATACAAATATCGAAACAGTTCTAGTGTATAGGATGAAAACATGGAGAACTACCAAAGTCATCATCCAGAAGATACCAGTATTTATTAACGGTTGTCTATGCAAAATACTTTGCATTCGCTGAAGGAAGGAAATCACCCAACCGTGTCATAAGGCAAACCCCACCTGGAATCCTCAAGGCTCAAGGTAAAGAGCAAGACCAAGAAACACTTTAAGCAAATAAATGGAGACAGGTATGAGAAGAATGAACAACGATTGGGTTGAACTAGAAAAGAAGGCTCAGGATAAAGTAGGTTAAAAAATGCTGGTTAGCAGCCTATATTCCATTGGGAAAAACAGGCGTAAGTCTCTTTAAACTATTACATATCTTCATCGCCTGATATTTATCTTTGTGACGCAACACTCATTCTATACAATGCCAAAAGTTTTAAAAATTTAAAGTTTGAGATAACGCACTTTCATTTCAATGAAACAATGTGAAGATGAAATATTCAGTATTCAAATTATAAAAAGACAAGTTTAAAGTCTAGATAAAACAAGCATATCTAAAATTGAAAATATTGATGTTAAGGATCTAAGTTAATTGTTGTTGAAATACTTGGTAACATTCATGTAACGTTTACCATATTGTCATAGTCTTACATCTGAAACTTCACTGGTCTGGTTTAGTTCGAAAATTCTGTCGAAAATCTAAGTTTTTCGAAAATACTTTGCATCAAGACTTTAATATCGTCTTTTCATGTGAATAAATGTTAAAAAACTTGAGTTACACGCCTTTCCAGTATTCAAAGTCAATGCAAACGAAAAGGAGGGAAGTTTAACCATGGTCGACTTCAAACTTAACAATTACGAAACATTCAAAGAGTACAAAAGTTGAGTTAACTATTTACCACAGCCAATATTTCTCCACTGAAGGATGATAATCAGCTATGTAACTACTGTCCGATTCCATGATGCGGAATGTGCTATTCAGATCGCTTCCACCACTAACCGCTTCCTGTTTCAAAACTATGCTGCATAGAAAATTTATATGGTCTCTGAAGAGCAGTACTAAACGTCTTAGGTGTGAAGTACCTGATAAACTAACACGACGACGCTCGTCGGAATAGTACGTTTCAGATTATGTGGGAGTCATACCTCAAGGTTAATACTTAACCTAGTTTGTCTTATTCATAGAAAATAGTTATTTGACTTTCTATGTGACTAGCTAAAATAAATACTCTCAATGGGCAACAATATGTATGAGTACAAACAGGTTACACAATTACCGGCAGGAACTACTGCTACATGAGTCCATCCATACCGTACAGTTGATCAATCCATGTCGGCCATCCGTGACGATGTTTAGTACTGCTCAACGATCAGTTATTTGTCACCTTATAAAGAAATGGTAAAGTTTGATGGATTTGTGTAAGGCTCATCAATGTTTTGCTAGTCGTACACGGTTTACTAGACAATATTTAGCAGATTTGGCATAATACCTTAATATTCACATTATACAGAGATATTTCGTCATTTGGAAATCAAACCAATGAGATAACAGTCTAATTATCGTTAGGCAACACTCGAAAATATTCACAGTAAATTGGTACCCAGTTTTTTACATCAGTACAATAAATTTCGGTCTTCATTTATGCTTTGTGGTGCGGTGACACTACTCACAACGAAGCTTGAAAGTAGTATGTGGTGGATATATAGCAGAGTTCCTTCCTCAAGTTAAGGCCAATGCGAAGAGTATCGGATCTGGATGTGTGGCGCGATTAGTGTTCTAAAGAACAGAAGGCATTTTAAAGAATTCAGCTAGGAATACGCTTGTTTCGTAAATAGGTGTTCGATGATATGGTGTACATATGTTGGGTAGTATATATACACACATATATATATTCAATACAGTGACATAGATAAATTACCGTATCATTTAATAAACTGAATGCAAAAGAAACCATACTGCAAGGAACTAGAGCAATTATTTAAAATACTGTTCGGTTCACAAGACTCAAATTCAGTTAGTTTAATACTATGTTAATCAAGACGCTACCTCCAATTCAGTGAAGAGTGATGAGTATGCATAAATAAGCAGCCCGAAGTTTGGATTCACCGCTTCATCAGTGGTCTCTAGACTACTGAATAATAAAAACGTGTCACAGAAATCAGGTTCAAATCAAATGGAAAACTTACAAAATCCATTTACATAAAGAAAACAAAATACTATTAATATATACATTATATCAAAATTTTCCCATTTAACTATTAGTAGCCATAATTAGCATCAAAATATATTCTTTTAACCACTAAAAATTACGATGTACATAATTATTACTATCATTACCAGACTATGTAACATAATTTTCTGCAGACAGATCAATTCAGTAACCTAAAGAAATTGGAAATCATAATTTATAATTGATACATAATTTCTGAAATATGAAAGACAAATTGTTTGTAAGAAAAAAAAATGAATAAAAGTACAAAATCTAAAAAAAGTCATATCTTGATTCGTAAGGCTTTTTGGATCTCTTCAAAACGCTTCTTGTCTTCTTCATGTCGACGTAACATTTCTGATAACTCTGCATCTGATCTCAACCATAATTTATAATCGTGAGGCTTTTTCAAATTCTTATCATTTTCCTAAATAAATAAAAAGGATTAAAAAAGAGGTGATCAAAAATTATCCATTAAGTAAAGAAATAAGGAAGAAGTTAGTAAAAGTTAAGGGAAATATTTTATCAGACTATGTCGAAAGTCACAGCTGCATCATTCGAATACAGGTTCTTATCCCTTGATTTTTTGAACAATCCGATTTTTCTGTCTTTATTGGATTCGAAACCAGTTCAGACGTCGGTGTTGACAGACATTGCTTCAAAAGTATAGCTTAAAATTGAGGGCAGGAACTTCAGTTTGATGAGTGACTAACAACGATTCAGGAAACATACTGAAAACTGTTAAATCACATTGTAGTCAAAGGGCGAAATGCATACTGATGCTTTTTGAACAGTCTGTCATTATGGCTACTTGTTAAATCCCATAAACTATGATTTTATATATGGCAACAGGAGAGAGAAAACTGTTGGCCTAAGTTGAGCACTAGTTGGTATTTGCTAGCACGGTTCACTTGTAATAGTGAATGAGCTGGTTTTAACTACAAGTTTTGAAACCACATCATTACTTGTCTAAAAAGTTCCATCTGAGCTATCAGAGCGGACAAGTATCAGTTAGTATAATACCTCAGTTCAAAATTTCCTCACGATTACAGCCACTTATCCAATTCCAGCATTATCTTTAAAATCAATCTTTTATCTGAGAACAAATTAAATTACATTGATCCTAGATTATATCAACAGTTTCAAAGTGTTATCGGTTTTCCTTCAACTTCATTATCAGTAAAGTTTAATGATCATCAAGCAGTTAATTTTCATAAACATATAACATAGTATCGTTTAGTTAGATTAAAATGAGCATTTCAAATAAACTAAAGAAAATTATTTGAAAAGTTTAATCACTGATGAACAAAAAGTCAAATAAATATGAACTTTACACAGACTAAAACATTGGTGAACAAACAAAGAAATTTTCAAATATTTTCTTTAGACTGATTTACGAAGAATGTTAAATTCAATGAACTACCTGTTTATGTTTATTTGAAATGACTCGACGATGGTTTGAATAAATCTGACTGATATGTTTTGCATAATTTAGCATCTACAGTCAAATAGAAGAATATATTATAGGTGATAAATAAGTAAAAATTTGCCGATATTTATTAACTTTGTACAGTATCAATGGTGTACACTTACAGATCATGTTGATTTCTAATTTGTAATCCGTAAAAATATTTTTTCTGGCCTATAACTCCTGATAAATGTCATCTCAAAAAGCTGCACCAACATGTTGCTTGTATGTGACTGACGAGAAAGCACGAAATGGTACTATCTCACAAAATATGTCTTCTCATTTCTCTATTCAAATTTATCAAAGGGAACCACTGTTTTGAATCAGAATTGAGTCAGAATTCAATGATTCATATTTTGGATTTTTCTTCAGTTTGTAATTTTTTAACTGCATAATTAATCATTTATTTCAAACATAACCAACTCGGTAACAAAAATTATCTTCAAATGAATACTTCTTAAGAATAAGAGATCTAACCAACTAATTCAGTTTTATAACTAATAATATAACTATTTCATTAGTTTGAATGTAATTTCATAGAATACACAATCATACTGCTGTCAGCGATGGTGAAAATGATCATCATGAATAAATTACTTTTGGTGATCTGCCTAATTTTATGATCAGTATTTACGGTGGCAAATTAGTTCTATTTATTAATCGGTAATACAGGGACAGATTTGTTCGGAAATAAAATGTTTACTGCAAAATACGATGACATGATAAAGAAAAACGTTTTCTAGTAATTTTCCGCTATTTTTAACTATTTGGATAATTCAGAACTTTGTGTAGTTTTACTAGAACCAACTATAACTAAACATGAGATGTTTAATTTGATTTCTATCAAATTTAGAAAATCTAAAGTGAAAAGATTATTTTTGTTACATTTATACACTTAAGAATAGTGATCATCTTTCAGTTGTTTCATAAAATAAATCAAACAAACGTTAAAGTGAAATCTTTTCTATGTTTTTGAAATAAGTGAGTTGACGTATTGTAACTTTGATACGCTACTAGAAAATATTGCCACGATAGTGAATATAATGGTAGAACGCTCACGAAAATTCTTCCACAATATGCCCTTAAAAGATGTGGAAAACAGACTGAGGCTCCTTCTACTATGAAAGAGTATCATTCTTGATGCAGGGAATTTTCTACGATGATTAATATTTGCACTTTAATAATTTTGACCTAAAACGAATTTTTTTTAACAAAGAGTGGATCCCAAAGAGTGAATTCCATGGGAGTAATAATCAGCATACAACAAAATACCAAACTAAAATAATGAACAATTTAATTTTCTTAAAAGTCAGTCGACTGTTAACGTGAGCGATTATCACATTGAATAGACTAGCAATTCTACTCCTAATTGCTTTTTATCATGATAAACCCATATCTCGTTGTGACGATTGTTCAGATAAACACAACCTTATTTTTTTAAACGAACCAGGAATGAGAGTACTTGTTCACCAGAAAAGTGAAAATTGTTTGAACGATTGGAAAGCGTTTCGGAGAATTATTGCGTTTTTTACCCTTCAGTTAAATTTTTCTGCTGCTACATCAAGATCTTATTGATTTCTTATGATATCATAGTCAAATATTGTTCAAATGATACCTTAGATCCATGTTTAAATATCTAGGCTATCTATTGTTCCAGCTATCTAGATATTTCAATTAGAATAAACCGATTATCATTATCATTATTACCAATCAAAATAATGTTTATTATTTTCATAAGACAATGACTGAACAACTACCAAACATAAGATTCGCATCTAAAACAAACCGATTAAACTATTATTATTACAAATCGGAAACTTACAGCTAAACGTTTTTCTGCTGCCTTTTGCTTAATAACTTCCTCTTTTGATAACTCTGGTGGATTTCTTGCAGAGCCTGTCTTAGATTCAGGATTTGTAGCATTTTTGAAAGTTTGATGACCTGAAAAAGATGCTTGGTGCGGTGAGCATAGCAACGTATTGTGTTTTTCTTTCGACTTATGATCGTTTAGGTCTTCAGATACGCCCTGGGTGGTACAGACTAGATGTGAATTTGAACATTCGTTAACACCTGGTTCAAACTTTTCTTCGTTTTCTTTGTTACTGTTTCTTTTGTCACTAGTTGAAGAATTCGAAGTGTTATTGTGGGAAACGGTGCTTCTAGCAATATTGTTTTCTGAGCGAGAAATTCTTGCATTAGATTTTTCTCGACACCTTCTTATATGCTCTGCATAACCATTTTGTCGGAGTTTTCGAGCAAGCTTTATTAAAAGAAAAAATTGTTTCATCTGATAATAAGTTAAACTTAATTGCGAGATAATCAGAGTATGCTGAAATTTACCGTTCAAGCTGAAGTGAATTTATAGAGCATCGAATAAAACCAAAAACCACGGTGTTCTGTTTACCACCTTCAACCAACTTACATAAAAGCAGTAAATACAGTCTTTGGTTACTTAGACTATTGAAAAGATTCTAACTCAATCGATAAAACCTGTCCTCCTCTAAAGACTAGACAGAAACGGCACTGATCACTATCCGATGATCAATCAGTTTAGAAGTAAACATTGTTAGCTTTGCATATTTTTATAGTTTTATTCATAAGCTCATCTTAGCTAGACCACCAGTGAAAACATATAAGCACTGGATGGCTGTTACGTCATAGTATGAGACTTTCAGCACAGCACACCCACATCCCCACATCCAGAAACCAAACCCACGACTTTCTGTCTTCGTATATCGAAAAGAGATGAGTTGAATGGAAGGTTTAAAGTAGACAGTCAACAGCAGAAACAGCTTATCAATGATTAACAAACTGAAAGGCGATAATGTAATATTAAGATAGGAATTGGCCATATAGTAGCCATCTAACCAGTTTGAAACAAATGCCAACATAAGATCCCTATGTGAACAAAAAGTAAACTGAGTTAGAATTAAATGGAAGTTTGAAAGGAACACACGTCGCTCAAACCATGCACAGACGTGTCCATCTTTGAGCAATACTAAATTTATAGCGACAAAGTCGTTAAAGCTCAGAATATCCGTTACTTTCCAATTCGCTATCTACGTAACAGAGGTAACTGGTTAAATACAAGTCCAATATGTTTGAAGATTGTATGATTGCAAAATATAACAAATATCTGCAAACATAAAAGGCTGTCCATTGTTCCTTGGTTTTAATAGTGCAACAACTGAGGTCAGTCTGTGAAGAGTATCACGTACACATAAAAACAATCTCCACTCAAGAAAAACTTGAGAATTTAAAAATTTCGTATTACAGTTAGTCAATATTGATGATTTTCTATGAACAACTGAATATGCATAAAGTGTTATGCCTTCAAACTATCAACTCAGTAACTTGCATCAAACTGTACAAATGAAGTACTACGAAAAATGAAAAATAATTACTTAACATCCTAAAAAGTACAATCTTTCAAATTGTACCATAGAAAACAACGATTTTTCTGGAAATTGAATCATTAGAAAAAGCATTAGTTTGACAAAAGATACGATTGAAAAGCCAATAACTTACTTTCTCACGATACTGTTCATTATCTGTATCTGGACCTAGTCCCCGTGATTTTGAGTTGATTGATGGCAATAAAGTATAATCTTTAAATGTGTATCGTTGTTGTGATGGTAAATGTGATACTGAAGGCTTCCGCTGGTTGGAGTTTCTTGAAGTGAACGAATTGCTGCTACCGTCACTGAAACATAGTTGTGTGGTTTTGTGGGTTTTTGATATAGGTGAACATAATGTGTGTAAACGAGTTTTAATTTCCGGTTCCGTGGAAGCTGATGAATTATACTTGCGAAAAAATTGCTTATGAGCTTTAGCTAGTTCGGCCTGTTGCAATATACCCATTCGAAATACACCAGATGCTGAACTCTGAAATAAATAAATATACAACATAGAAGATAAAAAGTTACCGGGAAGATTTAAGGTGAATGAAATTGTTCTTTTTTGTTTAGCGTGTTTTAGCGAGTTAGTTTTCTACAGGATGGGGTCGTCAACCCTATGCCCAACCCTCCTCCTTTATCCGGGCATGGGACTGGCAACAACCTCTGAGGGGCACAGGTAGAGGAAGAAGTCTGGAAGAAACGCTGGAACTGGATAGGATACATATTGAGGAAATCACCCAACTGCGTTACAAGACAAGCTCCACCTGGAACCCTTAAGGCTAACGGTAAAAAGGAAGACCAAGGAACACTTTAAGCCAAGAAATGGAGACAGGCTTCAGAAGAATGATTAACGATTGGGTTGAACTAGAAAGGAAGGCACAAGACAGAGTAGGTTGAAGAATGCTGGTTAGCAGCCTATATTTCATTGGATGTAACAGGCGTAATCAAAAGTAAGTAATATGTTCTTTACCAAAAAGACTGAACTTGCTCTTACAAAGTTTTCATGATAAGTAAGAGACAGAGTAAGAATGATTGTTTTTCTGGAATTATTACTTCTTTAATGGTTTAAAAGACACAAAGTCTAATAATTTACCATTATCACGAATACTTACTTTGAGTTTTTCAAGATAGTACAAACACATTTACATTTAAAAGGGTCTGTATTCCTGTTTTGGTTTGGAAGACTACAAGTGATAAATGTGCATCCTAAGCAGATGGCGTGGATATTATAGTTTAGTCATAAGTTTTGTTAAATTTGGAGTGTGACTAAACGTGAAATCCACGACGCATAATCCACAGCATAAAAATTCAAACATGAGAATACTGACATAAATTCATACCCGTTGAACAAGTCCATGGATATTTAGACTCAAGAGCTCAGTAAATGATGGACAGGTGTTTGAAGCGAATTGTTTTACCGTAAACATCAACACTAGGATTCAGATACATAAAGATAACGAGTTCCAAACAAGAAGAAATACGCCTACTAGATTTCACTAGTACCGAGAACTCAATTTTAATAAAATAAATTTAAACTCAAAGTTTTTATTTCGTGATAAAAGCCAACATCAATTAATTATTAAGATGTAGAAAAAACTGTCAGTATTCTACAAGTTTCATTTCACTTTAGTCCATTTGCTATGGAATGACGATGAACAGTCATTGGATATAATGCTAATGCATAAAAGTAAAGTAACGTAAGTCATACAAAACTAATGAATAAATGTTAAAGTAACCGATAGTCTGTTCACATTTCCGTTATAAGTGTATGTGTAAGGGGATTTTTTGTAAACGTCAATAACAGTTATTACAAAAGCAAATGAAACTATTGGTTTACTGGAATTTACATTGTACTAAACAATGCATAAAAATAATAGAATTTAATGAATTTACAATACTTCAATAAGTATTTTTTCCAACTGCACTGACGAATGTTATCTTTATTATGATTAAAGCTGAACATCAACACTGTTGCATGCCAGCTAATTAGTCTCGGAATTAAACGTTCGGGTACGAGATTGAAGGTTCTGGGTGCGAGCATTAGATGTGAAGTCGTCGATGAGTACTGCTGAGGTATCTCATACTACGATGAAACTGCTATAAAGTGTTCTCAAGTTTTCAATAGTAGTACAATTAAGATCAGTTTGTAATTAGAATAATGAAAATCCTTCTATCTTCACGGGTACTCATAATAAGATAAATAGCCAATTTTTGTTAGATCACAATCTAAAGATGCTTACTATTATTCTATGCTAAGCAATAACTGAATAAAATCAAATACATGTACATGATAAACTTGAAACCGTAGGTTAGATGATGATTCGTTTTGATTATAAAGTGATTAGCTGATCTAACTTAATTCAGTACTCAAAATATCAACAATTTTGGCGGTCAAGGCTAGTATAACTATAAAAACAATACGTCCATGAACTATAGAGCTTCCGAACAGAAAAATATTGGTCAGTATTGGTTGCTGGATTTATGGTAATTTATAATGAACTAGTGTATTACAACTATTCTGCCAACTGTTAAATTATCTGAAATTGTCATACTACATAAATAACTGATACATACAAAGAAATCATACAAAGCACTGTCTACTTTCGAAAAACTTACTGGAAAGCAATTGTAACTAATATGTTTCCTACTACTTTCTATTTCATTATTCCCAATTAAACTGTATGCGTTTAATTGTTCATGTGGACTGTAATTTGGTTGGATTTCCCAATAGGATTCAACAGGTCGACTTAGTGCATCATTTTCTCTGATAAGATTGTTTTTTGTATTGCGTAATGTGCATAAATTAGTTGAATTAGTAGACCAAGAAGGCTACGAATAGGTTGTTAACAAAAGTTCAGATTAAAATCAATACAAAAATCACTGCTAATAATTCAAACCATCATAATTTAAATAGAAATAAAAAGTTCAAATAATTATATTTGTAAAAATAATAAACATAGTATAATATTAATAAACGAAACGTAAAACCGAAAGGTTGAATAAAATCATAATTTTTATACAGACAGGTAATACCGTCATTAATTTACTTGAATATGTATTCTTTTCTTGGTCACATAACTTTAAATTATGTCAATGAATTGGTGAAGTAAAGGAAAAAGACCGAATAATTTAGGTCGTTTGATCATTCACTTATGATCATGGTCTACCTGATGAACACCAACTAGCACGATATTTATGGTCAGGGTATCTTGAGACTTCCACTAACTACCTAGAGTCAGAGTCGATTGATGTTTATCTAACCGCTTTTTCAAGAGATAGTATAGCAAAGTGAACAAGAGTTTTATCAGAATTATCTTTAAACAACTAATAGGCTCAAGACAAGTGATAAATTGATATCTCTTAAACCAAAACACTTTCAATTCGATCTTTTACAAATAAAAATATTACATGATTATTCATTTTGCTTCCCAAACTTACCTAACATAGGAATTTTGGTCAGGAGGTTATTCTTACTTAGGTTGATCTACTCAACAATATTCATTCATTTGCCTAGTTGATAAATAATTCTCATCTCTTACACTGTTAGACTTATCATTGAATAAAGTCATCAACTGTTGATTTGAGTAGTGTACGTAGGTGCAGACTAACTGGTTTCGATCTATGCAACTAGTGTATTTGATGACCAGAGATGGCTTAGAATCGGTGACAATAAAGCAGTTGTATACAATTTTCGCCTTCCTTTAGATTTTGAGTTTTAAAATAATCTAATACACTGTATTCTGTAAAGTGATTCATTATTTTCATATTACATTGTCTACTACTAATCTTTTTTACTACCACTGTAGTTGTTAATACTTCTACTATTCAGAGAATTGGTTCGTTAATTTCAAATCATTGTGCCGACGTATAGTTTAAACATAGAGCGTAGCTTATAACTAAGAGAAGTTCACATATCAACATATTTCAAAGTAACTGCATATTAAGTTAGTGAATGCTATAATTGTAATTTACAGCGTTTCAGTTTCTATATTTACTTGGTTCACTATTTTGTTCTAATCATTCAATATATATTTTCATATCCTAAGAAGACTTTACTTTCAGTAAAACTGAAAGTAAACATTTTATTTTTGACTCTCCATTACCTCATTTTGGTTTATTCGAACAAAGAGTAATTCTTACGAGAAATTATTTTCTATCAAATCTCAAAACTTTTAATACGAACAAATATAAACAGACGTAATTCATATAATTTATCAGATGTAAAACACTAGTTAACCGAAAAGACAACTATTTTAGGAATAAGAAAAAAACGACTTACAAAAAGTGGTTGATTTATTTTAGGCGTTATTTGTGTATACGATGTTGGTGATGAGAATAATGGGGATGGTGCTAATCGTGGTATGTAACTCACATTCCACTGTGATTCATGCACGTGGTTTTCTTTATTATTCACCGACTGTCCATTAGAGCATAAAACAGGATCCGATTGGAAGCATTCTCTATGTCGTTTAGTAATTTTCATATTTGGACTAAGTAGAAATGGACTATTTGTTAAACATTTTGCTGATCTGTTATTTTTATGATAAAATAAAAAGATCAAGAAGTTCAACTAATGATAGAGATTTTATCGTTAAAATGAAGTGTTTAGAAAGTTTTGTTTATCTATCGACTTTTGTTTACAAAACATATTAAGATTAGTCTTCTTTTTATGACAGATCTACTCAGTGTTAGGTTTTTGATAAACAGATGACATGTTTTGGAGAATGCAAACACTGTATAGTAAATTATTGAAATTTGACAAACTCTGTCAATCAAATCTGCTAAATTGAACTATTCAGTATTAAATTATAAAAAATATAACTTAAAATTTTATCCAACACTCGGAAAGTAGATTATGTTTAGTATCAGCTATATGACAGACTTCGATAAGTTTGGTTAAGTAGGTAGGTTCGTGTTTTCTCTGGCTGGATGTAACGTTCAGCTTATTCCTAGAATAACATTTTGACACTGGTTTAAGAGTAACACTCTAGTCAGTATAATGTTAGCTTTGATATTTTCCAGTGTAATATTATTTAAGGCCAGTATTTTTTACCATTTAAGTGTAAAAGTTCGTTCAGTGTAACAGATGTAAACTTTTGAGCAGTTTGACTATTAAATTACTTGTATTCTTCTGTGTGAAATTCGTATCCGTTTAACAGTAATTATGTAAATCCTTTCATTTATATGATATTTGTTAACTAAGTATCAATCAATTGAAAAAAACCAATTTACAGATGAGTGTATTTAGTTTAAAGATGACGTTTTTGGATGGTTTATTCGGGGGTCGTGTTTTGAAGAGTCGTCAATAAATCTTTGTGATATAAATCCTGATGTTTTCACTTCGCATAGTTGAAATGGAAGTGATTCTCATTTCAAAGTACAAATAGTAAGACAGCAGATGAAAAAGGCGATGTGTACATAGCCGAGGCTATTGGAATACAACATATATTAACATCACCTGAATATATAACTATGCTAAATGGTTTGTAAATGGAACAAGGTAATCAGAAAATGAAAAGTGAATGATCAGTCTACATCAATGAAGATACTAGCATTAAACTCTTATCCCAGTAATTAATATAATTACAGTTTACAACATATCAGTTTTCACATACAATCATAACACAATTCCACATATGAATAAAGTTTTTAGGGAGCTCTCAATCGATGTTGCGTGTTAGTTGGTAGCTGTCATTAAAGTATATCAAAAGGTTTGAGAAAAATGATGCCCTTCTTGAGATTCGACAATGTACTACCCAATGTCACTTTCAAACACCTGAGCACTGAATCGTCCAAATAATGAAAAACCCCATGTAGGACGAAGATTAGTACAGTTACCTATGAAAACGCGAACCAGTATCATGCTGTTTAATCTTTCATGCTAACCGAAATTTATAAATCAAGGTACATTAAGGTCGAGAAAAATTATCCCGGACCTAAAAAACAAACGATCTGACGATGGTTATTACAAACTAATCAACTAATATGTAAACAACACATTTCTTCACAAACTGATGATACTTGAGTGGTAATGTCGCTTTTATAGTAAACAATAGGAATTTATGCTTTCTCATTTTAACATTCTCAACTATAAAGACGGTCTAAGTAGTTATTATTACATTATATTATTTTTTGGTAATAAAAAAACACTTTCATGCATAAAAATATCCTACCCCGAATTATACTGTGATTTCACTTTGTGAAGTTGACCGTACGTTACGGAGCAATTTTTAACACCTTGATGAATGTTCAGTTTGTTTGAAGTAATAAAATTCAGTTTCGTTTTTGATTTGTTTTTAGGGATTAGTTCATGACCAATAATATCTAAACAAATATTTACGAAACACAAAACGAAACTACTTCATTATGCATGAGATAAGCATGTTTTTTTTACATAAAAACTATAAAAGTCAGGTTTATGGAAATATGTTTGAATAAAAACAAATAAAATAAAATAAATATACGCGACTTATGGTAATGATGTGGTAGTAGAAGGGAAATGTGATTGGTCATCGAGAGTGCAGAACCTACTGACCATTAAATATGTGATTTCATTTCGTTACTGACTTTTACTCCGGACTCACTAAGTGTAACTGCTTGTAGTTGTGTGGAGTAAATAATATCTACCGCTTACTCTAGTTCTCTATTTTGGTCACGAATCGAGTATCTGGTTTAACATGACCTAGTCACTGTTCGGTGTGCCGTTCTAGTATCTAATTAAGTGGTATTAGAAACTCGGACATCCAATTAGTCACCGACTATAACACAGTGAATAAAGAATATACTGAGAAAATAAAAATATAGATATTTTATCAGTGCAAATAATTAGGACTTTTGTCGATTACTACAAAACTTTCGTATTTAAGTCAGATAAACCTGTTTAGTGAGAACCCTGGTAGAATACATAACCAACTAGAACAGGAGTATTTGTGAACTGCTTTTCTTTTAAATTGTTAACTGTTGCTTCGCGATCAAGACAGTTCAATAAAGTTTATGACCACCGGAAAATAGGAGGTTGAAAGAGCTCAGCGATTCATTTTTCTCCAAAATCTCTTTCCAATTTTTAGTTTGATTGGAAAAATCTCTGCGCATATAAGAACGTCTGAATTTATTCCAGCTGAACGGACCGTGGTAAAAATGAGATGCATCATTTTCTTTGTAAGAAGGTTTATTTATTGAGTAGCAGTTTTATTTATGTTACTTTATAGGCGAACCAATGTGTAGATTACTTGCGAACGATTACTGGCACCTCCAATGTATTGTATGATGAGGTTAGAACCACCGAATGATTAGTCACAGAGTAAGATTGTTAAGAGTCTGAGACCGTGGAGGCTTGAACTCGCCTTGTGAATGGTCACACACTTACTCCCTCAACTCGGAACTGCAGCTGCTGTGAGAGTAGTTAGGACGAATATTAGACTCAGAAATAACCAGGAACTACTAAACCAAGATCAAAAATGAATTTATTTGACCGGGAGCTGAAATATGAATAACGGTAACACAGAAAAATGTTTAGTTCTTTTGACTTCAATAAGATAATGTGACTTTTTTATAAAGCAACAATGTTCATGTTCTTACAGTTTTAAAATTACTCAAATGTTTTACTTTTTAGAACTAAAAGTATCTCGTTTTAAATTAATCCTATGCTATGAACAGGTGACAATAAACAAATGCTCCATAGAACTAATTTTCATGTTTGTACTATACATCAAATAACAATCTGACTAACAATTAATGGTAAACCAACAATCTACCTAATAAGCGATTTTAGTGCTCCAATTTTGTTAAGGCTTTTCTTATTGTGAAATTTTTCAAAGACGCTGTTGTCACATTCAAAGAGTGATATAATTCCACTTAACAATATGATCTTCAAAAGTTGCTCTATTTAATTTTATATTCTTACAGAATGATCCTGACATGATTTCTGACATTTTGCTGACTCTTTCCTGTATATGAAACATTTATCCATTTCCATTCATCAAAAAGCCTTACTGACCACTACTGATTGTGATGTAGCAACTCAGTTATGCTAAACGTTGTTAATGTTAATACTAAATAGAATCAATCAACATTTAATGTACACTTTTGATTCGGTATTCATGAAAACTGTCAATTTTGTGTGATGTAAGCAATTATCGCTTACTTCAATGGAAAACTGATTCTGAGTATTCTAAGATGCTACAATCAAAGTGTTGAAGATATGTATCCTTTGTAAACACTTCTAATTGATAAGTTTCCAAAACAGGTTGTTTACAACCTGTTGGGGATGTTAGATCCCCAAAATTCGCATGATAATGCCGTATTTTGGTTTTTACGTTTCGCCAGCAGGGGCTGATCAAATGACCTTGAGATTTCAATTCCCACCAGGAAAATCAATGGCTGTGATTGGCTACAGTGTATTTTAGTATGCTATTTTCTTAACTGTCTCAAGGACGTTGTTATGTTGTATAAATAAACGAGAGTTGTATGCTTGATTGTACTGGGATTGCTGGGTGCTTGTAGAATATACTTCTACGCCTACAAAGACTTCTGTTTTCCCGTTTGGATTCAGGGTAGCCTTCCTGGAAGCTGGTAAAAGTCTCGTTCGCGTTTATCGACTAAGGTAACCTCGTAATAGCATCAAGCATACTACTAAGTGCCGAACATATCACAACCTTAACAGTATTAGTTCATACAAATCAGCTTACGTACTTTCTATTATAATGTAGAGAGTTCTTAACAGTGAAGATTAATGGAAAGAGCAATCAGCAAGTAAGAGCCATAAGAGATGTTTACATGCTAAATAATGCAAATATCTGTATGTTGTACAAAAGAATATTCTGGAATAGACAACCACCAATATATAGACAGAATCATTTAAAAGTAAGATGTCAGAGTGACAGTTATTTAAACTTAAAACGAAGTCGAGTACAGAGCAGATAAGAAGAGAAGATTATTGATAAGCGCCACCTTAATTGACAATTATGAATCAGGTCACCACCGCAAAAAAAGATTGATAACTTCAACTCCCTATATGCATAAATTTGGTTTGAATTTTGTCATGGCAACGGCTTCAACGAAGTGTAGCAAATTCAATGTTCTTTTTTTGTTAGTTATCTTGAAGGACTTTCACGCATTCATACGAGAGCTACTGTCAAGAAGATGGCGTTCAATCGTACTTCCAAAACAGTGTTGTTCTCTTAGCCTAAGCTTCTGGTGAACGTGCTCAGAGATTCTGTTAGGAATGTTAGATCCCCAGAACTCGATGATAAATATCTTTATTTTGGATTTATTTCATGGACCAACCAGCTGATCTTGAAATTACATTTCCCACCAGAAAAATCCTTGGCTGTGATTGATTACTGTCATATTAGTGTGCTATTTGTGACTATCCCAAGGACGTCTCTATGGAGTATAAATCAACGCAATTTCAGTGCTTGGATTCATTGTGTGCTGGCTGGGTGTTTGTAGAATACAATTTCTATGCTATATCAAGACTTCTTGCTAGTATAATTTGGTCAAAGGATCACAGTAGCCTACCTGGACGCTGGTTCATTATTTTGTTCTCGTCATTCGACTAAGGTGAACCCATAATAGTTTAAGCATACCTAGAGACGAGCGTAACAGATTCGGATACCAATATACTTAAAAGGCGTCCGAACGAAAACTTTTTAGCAGCTTATTGGATAGAAGTTATTGAAGTTTAGGTATAGTCTACTACATGTGTCTTTTCACCTTAGTATGAAAATTCTTAGCAGTCCACTTCCATAGCCTCACTTGTGATCAAATATGAAGCCCTCCTGACTTTTGGCGACCGTTCAACCATCAGACCACAGAGTTGGTGTATATCTCTAACTCCATTCAATTTTTGTAATTAGTCACCATCCATTGACACTGGTAGTAGTTGTTACATGCTCAACATAGTCGAACTTTAATGGTCATTGATTTTCACTAGAACTCTAGGAATCACCGCTTACCGCAAATCAGGGGCTGATCAAATGACCTTGAGATTTCAATTCCCACCAGGAAAATCAATGGCTGTGATTGGCTACAGTGTATTTTAGTATGCTATTTTCTTAACTGTCTCAAGGACGTTGTTATGTTGTATAAATAAACGAGAGTTGTATGCTTGATTGTACTGGGATTGCTGGGTGCTTGTAGAATATACTTCTACGCCTACAAAGACTTCTGTTTTCCCGTTTGGATTCAGGGTAGCCTTCCTGGAAGCTGGTAAAAGTCTCGTTCGCGTTTATCGACTAAGGTAACCTCGTAATAGCATCAAGCATACTACTAAGTGCCGAACATATCACAACCTTAACAGTATTAGTTCATACAAATCAGCTTACGTACTTTCTATTATAATGTAGAGAGTTCTTAACAGTGAAGATTAATGGAAAGAGCAATCAGCAAGTAAGAGCCATAAGAGATGTTTACATGCTAAATAATGCAAATATCTGTATGTTGTACAAAAGAATATTCTGGAATAGACAACCACCAATATATAGACAGAATCATTTAAAAGTAAGATGTCAGAGTGACAGTTATTTAAACTTAAAACGAAGTCGAGTACAGAGCAGATAAGAAGAGAAGATTATTGATAAGCGCCACCTTAATTGACAATTATGAATCAGGTCACCACCGCAAAAAAAGATTGATAACTTCAACTCCCTATATGCATAAATTTGGTTTGAATTTTGTCATGGCAACGGCTTCAACGAAGTGTAGCAAATTCAATGTTCTTTTTTTGTTAGTTATCTTGAAGGACTTTCACGCATTCATACGAGAGCTACTGTCAAGAAGATGGCGTTCAATCGTACTTCCAAAACAGTGTTGTTCTCTTAGCCTAAGCTTCTGGTGAACGTGCTCAGAGATTCTGTTAGGAATGTTAGATCCCCAGAACTCGATGATAAATATCTTTATTTTGGATTTATTTCATGGACCAACCAGCTGATCTTGAAATTACATTTCCCACCAGAAAAATCCTTGGCTGTGATTGATTACTGTCATATTAGTGTGCTATTTGTGACTATCCCAAGGACGTCTCTATGGAGTATAAATCAACGCAATTTCAGTGCTTGGATTCATTGTGTGCTGGCTGGGTGTTTGTAGAATACAATTTCTATGCTATATCAAGACTTCTTGCTAGTATAATTTGGTCAAAGGATCACAGTAGCCTACCTGGACGCTGGTTCATTATTTTGTTCTCGTCATTCGACTAAGGTGAACCCATAATAGTTTAAGCATACCTAGAGACGAGCGTAACAGATTCGGATACCAATATACTTAAAAGGCGTCCGAACGAAAACTTTTTAGCAGCTTATTGGATAGAAGTTATTGAAGTTTAGGTATAGTCTACTACATGTGTCTTTTCACCTTAGTATGAAAATTCTTAGCAGTCCACTTCCATAGCCTCACTTGTGATCAAATATGAAGCCCTCCTGACTTTTGGCGACCGTTCAACCATCAGACCACAGAGTTGGTGTATATCTCTAACTCCATTCAATTTTTGTAATTAGTCACCATCCATTGACACTGGTAGTAGTTGTTACATGCTCAACATAGTCGAACTTTAATGGTCATTGATTTTCACTAGAACTCTAGGAATCACCGCTTACCGCAAATCATTAGTAAGGTCATGAATTTTCAAGCACGAAGTTATACTACTGAAGTCAGTCAGTCAGTTGCAATGTAGAACTTCGTACGTATGTACATAAGTTCATGTTGCCATACCACATTATTAGCACAGAGACGCAAATGTCAAATCAAATCCCATAGTGATAAAGATGGTAGAGGTATTAATGTTAATAAAGAAGACTAGGGTTTAAGATATTGTTCAAAAAATATAATTCAGTGAGATAAGGTTAGAAAGAAAAAGGTAG